TGTTTGGTGTGATACAAACACTTTCAATGAGAGTCGCAACGCGAGAAGCCGCTTTGTATCGGGGCCTCACTCGTCCAAATAATGCTTGAATGGGTTGCAGGGATGGTCTGACGCACCACACATCTCAGTCCTCTCACTTGTGGTGATTTTTGCTTTGCAAACTCAACCACATTGCAGACAGGCTACGTGGTGACCTTTCCGTGTTCGCCTTCATCCCTACTTTGCTTTGCATAACACAAGCGCACTCAACTGATTAAATATTTGCCGTATGCTGACATAAGTGTCTCACATTGAAGGTGGTGTCCACTTCGGCCAGACATGGTGGGTGGGCATGGCTGGTGGGTGAGTTGAATATATGACGCAAGTATTCCGTGCAGTCGATGGACTTAGCAAGGCGGGCAGCATTGCCAAGCCACATGGTGTAGTTGGAGGGGTTCTCGTCGACATGAGGTGGATGGAGGTGCGTCTGCAATCCCAACACCCATTCCAACCAGTGGCTGCGAAGCGATTACATCGAAACATCACTCTCTCAGCCAGCAACACGTCGCAGCAACAGAAAGAGGGCAAGCGGGCGGCATGTAGCGTTGAAGCGTCCGATCAGCCTCGCCTCATTAGTGCACCACTTGTTATGAAAAAGGCAGGCCTGCCTCACACACCAATTCTGCCTGTTGAAGCGACCTCCTTCGTGTTGCTGCCCGCCTCTAAGTTCATTTGGGTTCATGCAAGTGCACTTGCGAGAATGCAAACACGCACCATTGGAGATACATTTTTATTGTTGGAGCGCATCGTGCCGGTCTAAGAGGTGGAAACACTTTTCTCCTCATTCACTTGTGCCACCGAAGTGCCTCCAAGCGCGACGTGGACACGCATCACAGCGCACACGAAATGGTGAAAATTTGCGTTGGTGAGCTGAATCTGACTCAAAACGAGTAGAGCTTCTCAAGTATGGCCATATTCTTTGGCCTCATATTTGCTTCAGATTCCTGCTAATTGAGGTGTAGTTGTGTGCTACTTGGACCTCCGAATTCCATTACTCGAGTGCTGTGGGGATTTGCAAGAACATCTATCACCACGGCTTCCTTCACAAGAGCAACTATTTTGCCGAGGGTGCGTAATGGATAAGGAGAAGTCTCTGAACTGCATTTCGGTGTGCGAGCATTTGTTCAGCCTGGGTAAAGGGGTGGCGGTATCGCAAGACCATCCAGTTGTAGGCAAACGAAAGTGAAAGTCATCGACTGGCACAGTACTTGGCGACTTGACGGGGAGTTGCATGGCATGGAAAGATTGAAGGGCGACACGAGGCATCCGACTTGGCGTAGCCCACGTGGACAGTGGGTCATGCCAAACTTCCTGTTTGGTGAATGTAAATTTATAGCTGTTTATAGCTGCCAACAGGTGTGTTAAGTACTCGTCACCGCACCTGCTTGTCTGCCGCACATTACCCAAGATCCCATTTGAGTCAAGTGCCATTCTTTCACCAGTTTGCAAGTCATCACGCTCAACCAGCCCTTTGACAGGTGCGACCACTGCCACGAATTATGGACAGGCGTCGAAGGGCAGGGTAACATGAAAGGCATTTTGCTGGACATGATTAAACAGCGCATGACAACTGAACAGTGATGACGACATGTGCTTGTAGACGACGTTTTGGGCACGACGGCAAGTGCATTTTTTGCACTCGAAGACGTGGAGCTAGAAGTCGCCAGTCAATTTGGCAATGTTGACCGTTCATTAGCAAGTCTAGCAGGTTGGTAACTGTTGAGGTGATTTGTTCTTCTACTAAAATCACGTCAGTCGCAGGAAACTACATCTCGCACATTTACACGCGAAAATGTAAAAAAGTTGGTGATCATCTACTTCGATAGAAGACGATCATGGTGGTGATGCTACTGTGTCTGAGACGATTGGGGCAGTCGATGGTGGTCTACAGCATTGACACCACAATTTGGCCACTTCGTCTTCACCGATGG